TTCTTTTCTTTTCTTTTCTTTTCTTTTCTTTTCTTTTCTTTTCTTTTCTTTTCTTTTCCTTAATATGATTTACTGTCAAATTGGCAAATACATACAGTGTGTAAAGTGTGCTCTTGGTTTTGGGGGTAGATTCCCATGGTTCATTGCTTACATACAACATCCAGTGCTCATCCCAACACGTGCCCTCCTCAATGCCCATCACCCATTTTTAGACTTCTTTTCCAAGAAGACATCTAGATGGCTAACAGAAACATGAAAAGATGCTCAACATCACTCATTATCAGGGAAATACAAATCAAAACCACAATGAGATACTACCTCACATCTGTAAGAATGGCTAAAATTAACAACTCAGGAAACAACAGATGTTGGCAACGATATAGAGAAAGGGGAACCCTTTTGTACTGTTGATAGGAATGCAAACTGGTGCAGCCACTCTAGAGAACAGTATGGGAGGCTCCTTAAAAAATTGAAAATAGAACTACCCTACAACCCAGCAATTGCACTACTAGGTATGTTGTATCAAAGGACACAAAAATGTTGATTCAAAGGGACACATGAAACCAATGTTTATAGCTGTGCTTTCAACAATACCCCAATTATGGAAAGAGCTCAAATGTCCATCAACTGATGAAGGGATATGGTGTATGTATGTGTATGTAATACACACACACACACACACACACACACACACACACACACACACACAAAATGGAATATTACTCAGCAATGAAACAGAATGAAATCTTGGCATTTGTAAAAATGTAGATGGAACTAGGGTGTATTATGCAAAGCCAAATAAGTCAGTCAGAAGAATACCAATATCATATGATTTCACTCATAGGTGGAATTTAAGAAACAAAACAGATGAACATATGGAAAGGGAAATAAAAGTAAAATTATAAGTTAAAAACAGGAAGGCAAACCATATGTGTCTCTTAAATACAAAGAACAAACTGAGGGTTGATGGAGGTAAGGTAGCTGGGGGCATGGGCTAAATGAGTGATGGGTTTTAAGGAGGGAATTTTTTTGGATGAGCACTAGGTGTTATATATAAGTGATGAATCACTAAATTCTATTCCTTAAACCAATATTACAGTAAATGGTAACTAACTTGAATCTACATTAAAAATAAAAAGAAATCTGAGGCCAAGAAAATGCATATGATTTGGTACTGGAATACCCAAGTTTGGGACTGATCTCCATTAACTCCCATATCACACTTTCTTTCCATTTGTCATTAGATATAGAAAATCATTGAAATCCTATGGAAAACCTTTTGTCATTTTTTAAGAAACATTTTCTCATTAAAAATCATTTTTTAATATGAAATTTATTGCCAAATTGGTTTCCATACAACACCCAGTGCTCATCCCAACAGGTGCCCTCCTCAATGCCCATCACCCACTTTCCCCTCCCTCCCACCCCCCACCAACCCTCAGTTTACTCTCAGTTTTTAAGAGTCTGTTATGGTTTGCTTCCTTCCCTCTCTAACTTTTTCCCCCTTCCCCTCCCCCATGTCTTCTGTTAAGTTTCTCAGGTTCCACATAAGAGTGAGTGTTTACCAAGAGCAAGGTAGGAAACTAATCCCTGAGAAATGAATGAAAATGTGTAATCTATTGTCCTGAGCTCAAAGTAGTCATTACCGTGGCTGAATGAAAATTCTGCTTTGACTTGTATGCTAGTTTCTCATTAAAGCCATTGCAATAATAACTAAGGGAGATAACTTGGGTATTTCTTCTCCTGACATTCTTAAATCAATGTCATCATGTTTATGCATAATAAGTGATATAGCTATTTGTCATTTCATATTGTATAAAGAAGAAGGAAGGGAAGGAGGAAGGCAAAGATGGAGGTAAGAAAGAAGGAAAAGAGAATGAGCTCTTTCTTTCAAGTCTTAAAATAAAGACCTAGCGTAGAAATTCAATTTTTTTTGTTTTAATCTGTTTTTGTTGTTGTTGTTGTTTTCTTATCCTGTTCCTGAACCTCTTCATTTATATTTTCTCCTATAGAAATCATAGGTGATCACATTGCTACCCATACTATTGAAATTTGTACACTTTTCTCCCTATTTGGAACTTTAGAGTAAACATAATTACTTCCTTTTATTGATGTTTATTGCTCTGTTGCAGTAGCTCATTTACATGTATATTTCTTCAAATTATTTTCTTGTATGAATTTGGGGAGCAATTAGGTTGTATTAGTTTAAATCAACAAATATTATTAAAAGAATAATTATAGAATATATTGATGACAACCCTTCCCTGGGAAACTTAAGTACGATTTATCATCCAACTAATTCTCCAGTGAAGTAGATCATTGGTTTCCAAAATCTGCAAATTATAGAGGAAAGGGGATATTAAAACTAACAGGATGGACTTGGAAAAAATCACTTAGCATAACATAGTCAAAATGAGAAAAATAATTTAAAAATCTATGACTTTTATAATAAATATACTAAAGTGCATTAAAACGACATAAAATTTATTGAATTTTAGTGTGAAATATGAGAATGATTAACAGAGAAAAATTTTAAACCAAGTTCTCCTGAAATCACATTTATTATAGACATAATAGGCCCTTCCTTTACTACATATTATGCACAAAATTTACCCTTATAGAAATATTGAAGGCCTATGAACCATTGCCTCTCTTTAACAGATATATAAATTGTTGGCTTCCAAGTTCATTGACCATATAACATAATAAAAGAGATACAAACAATGCCCGTGAGAAATGGCACACTATTCCTGTTCTGTACTACTCTCAAGTTCCCTCTTTCAAAACTGAAGGAGCAACGCCTTGATGTAAAAGCACACCAATATTGAAGCAATAATGCTCCTGAATAATATGCTTCACTGGCAGAAGCTTGTCACCGTGGTAACACAACAACATCAGGCAACATTGTTTTGTTCCTTTGTCCATGAAAATTCTTAAGATAAAATATGATGTTAAAATTAACAAAACAACAAAATGAGGCATTTCTTTGAATCATACTTATTTGTAACAGGTAAACAACAGCATATTTTTATTCATATTTTTAAAACTGTGTAAAAACATCAACTTGACCCTATGTGATCTTAGAGAAATGGGATGAACTTTTAACAACTCATCTGCTACATTTCTAAATGGGCACAACTTGTTAAGAGATGAGAAATCTGCTAAGAGAGCAGTGATGTCGTTGTCAGAAGTGGTCAAAGGAGCAGGGAAAACAAAGTACATCCCAGCAGATGAAGGAAAAAGAGCTATGGAAAAAGATGAAGGAAAATGAGCTGGTGAGTCACTCCCACACAGCAGAAGTGGGCCTAATCAAGGAATAGTCTCTAACCTCAGAGAAGGGACACCTAGCAGCATTTGTGCAGCTGGATTTCAGAATTACAATGGACAAATGTCTCTCCTATGTGATTTTCTTTCTTCCCTTTTTTTGAACGGATATTTCTCTTGTAATTATACTGCTCTAGTTTAACCCATATGTTGGATGTTTGTAGTATTAACAAACTTATTCATAGGTCTCTGGATTAAGAAGGACACATCCTGATTTAAAATATACCATAAAATACTGTACTCTTAGCCTGATGCTATAATTGGGTGAGATTCTTTGAGGACTTGAAGGGATTGACTGTATTCTGCATTTGGAAGGCAATAAATAATTTTGAACAAGAGATAGACTATGGCAGATTGATTGCTTAATGCCATCAATTAATGTTGTCTCTATATCCATATGCTTTGCCCTATAAACTCAAAGTCCTTTCCCTTTCTGACTCTGAGATCAGGCTGTGACTTGCTTCAGGCAATTAAATGTTATCAAATGTACTGTAATCAGAAAATTAAAAAGCCCATGTGTGTTTCCATTTTCTATTTTACACAATGATGCTTGCTCTCTCTTTTGACCTCTGCCATCATCATAGGAACAAGTGAACCTGCCAGAGGTGTATGAGAAGTACTTGGAAAAAAGCTGAGGTCATTCTAGACAAGGCAACAGCCAGCAGACCCCAAAACATGTGAGAGAACACAGCCAAGATCAGTTCATCTCAGCCCAGATCAGCCCAGTACATAATGCCAACCTAATATATAGATTTGTGAGGAATAATAAAAGGTGGTTGTTTTAAACGACTAAGCTTTGGGGTAGTTTGTTAAGTAGCCATAGCCAACTGATATATCTTCATTTGCATGATCTGGGACTAAGAATCCAAGACCAGGATTAATTAGTAGACTAGAGTCAGTTTCTAGTAAACTTTGTCGATGAATTCCTTGTCTGGAAGACAGTGTTTAAGGAAATTATTGTTGGGCATATTAACCCTAATCTCTCAATCCACTACTCTGATCACAAAATGTGTCCCCTAAGCAAAATAACCCATTCCACTATCAATTCTCTAAGAGCTGTGAGAATTGAAGACCATCCTCAGAATGCAGGTTATTTCCCCTGAGAAGGATGGGGTAAAACCATTTGTATGGACAGTCCAAAGAGCATATACTTTCTCATATGGAAAGTGTTTACAGGACTACCATCCACAAATATAGCATGAAGGTTGAGAACAGTCTTCTGAGGACCTCTAAGATTTTTCTCAAGCATCCTCCAATGATCTCTATCATTCTGGAGGAAGTAACCATCCCAAATGACTTCCTTTCTCTTAAACCTTGGGATCTAAGATCCACTTTTGGCAATCAGTTTCATTTGTTAATATTATTATATGATACATAGATCAAGTGTGTTAGAAAGTTTCAGAAGCAGAGTAAGTGTGTTAGAAGGTGAAGTGTTCTCTCTCCTTGTTGAAATATCAGACAGATGAACAAAAAAGTTATCACTATAAAAATTGCAAGAATCTGGGATGGTCTTCTTGCAATTCTGGAGAAATCCAAGGGCAGGACAGTGTGTACCCATTTCTAGCTTCTCATCTTCAGTGATCCCATCTTACTAGGCAAGGATCTTTTTCTTCCTTAGAGTATATCCATAGCCTTATTTGCATGCCAGGAGCAGTCATTTACATGGGGGCCAGTAGTTTCCTTATTATTCTGCTTGCTTTCTCTTTGACCTCTGTCATCACCATAAGAACAAGAAAGCCTTCCAGAAGCATGTAAGAGGCACTTGGAAAAAAAGCTGAGGTCATTCTAGACAGGACAATAGCCAGCAGACACCAAAATATGTGAGAAAACAGTGCCAAGACCAGTTAATCTCAGCCCAGATCTGCTAACCCACTCCTACGTTCCTGATGTACTTGAAATACACTAATTTGTACGCTTACTAGAGTGAGACAAGCCAGTATCATGCTTACGTGACATAAGTATGGACCTAGAAACAAATCATATAAAACAGTACAATGAGTATATTCCGTCCAGGGAGTCATCAAACGTGTTTCTGATTATAGTAGTACCTTTAGTCCCCATCTACTCCATGGCACAGGGTACAGCCAGACTTCTGTAATAATAAGGGTGAAGACAAGGTTCTGCTAAGACATATCACCATTGTTTCTTAGTCACTAATCACACCAGAGGGGCTGGTACTTCCCTAATCATAACTTAACATTACATTGCCAAATAGTTAGACTGTCTCTTGCTAAGTCTGACTTCCACTGCAGCTTCAATTCTTGGCACTGGCCTAGAATTTAATGGCCAACAGGAGATTCACACACTTCTGTTACTGCTGTCTCTATAAATTCCCCTGATACATGCTATTCCAGCATGTTTAGTATGTGTGTGCTCTTGCCATTTCCCCTCCTTTGTATGAAGCACCTCACTTACATCAATGGACATATCATCTATGCAGAAGATCAACAAAAAAAACGATGGCTCCAGCTGGAATAACAGATACATTTAGGACATTCCATCCTAAAACAGCAGCATACACATTCTTTCCAAGTGCACACGGGACATTCTCCAGTATAGATCATATATTAGGTCACATATCAGGCCTCAACAAATACAAAAATACTGAGATCACACCATGCATATTTTCTGACCACAATGCCATGAAATTTGAAGTCAACCACAAGGAGAAAATAGGAAGACCACAAACACACGGAGGTTACAACACATGCTACTAAACAATGAATGGGTCACCCAGGAATTCAAAGAAGAAATTAAAAAGTACATGGAAACAAATGAAATGAAAACAAAGGTCCAAAATCTTTGAGATACAGCAAAAGCACTTCTAAGAGAGAAGGACACAGCAATACAGGCCTACCTTAAGAAGTAGGAAAAACCCTGGGGTGCCTGGGTGGCTCAGTCTGTTAAGCATCCAATTCTTGGTTTCAGCTCAGGTCATGATCTCATGGTTCATGGATTCAAGTCCCGCATCAGGCTCTGTGCTGACTGTGTGGAGCCTGCTTAGGATTCTCTCAAACTTCTCTCTCTCTCCCCGCCCTCCCCCTCCCCCCCACTCACACTGTCTCTCTCTCTCTCTCAAAATAAATAAATAAATTTAAAAAAATACTTTATAAGAAGAAAAATCCCAAATAAACAACTTAACCTTACACCTAAGGTAGCTACAAAAAGAACAATAAATGAAGCCTAAAGCCAGCAGAGTAAAGAAAAAAGTAAAGATTACAGCAGACATAAATGATATACAAAGTAAAAAACAAACAAACAAACAAACAAACACACACACAGAAAAAAAAAACCAAGAGAACAGATCAATGAAACCAGGATCTGGTTCTTTGAAAGAATTAATAAAATTGATAAACTTCTAGCTAGACATGTCAAAAAGAAAAGAGAAAGGACCTAAATAAATAAACACAAATGAGAGAGGAGAAATAACAACCAACACTACAGACATACAAGCAATTAGAAGAGAATATTATGAAAAACTATATGCCAACAACTTGGAGAACCTGGAAGAAATGGATAAATTCCTAGAAACTTATAAACCACGAAAACTAAAACATGAAGAAATAGAAAACCTGAATATACTTATAACCAGCAAAGAAACTGAAACAATAATCAAAAATCTCCCAACAAACCAAAGCAGGACCAGATGGCTTCACAGGTGAATTTTACCAAACATTTAGAGAAGAGTTAATACCTATTCTTCTCAAACTATTCCAAAAAAAGAAAAGAAAAGAAAACTTCCAAATTCATTGTATGTGGCCAAGATTACCCTAATACCAAATCCAAATAAAGGCACTACTAAAAAAGAGAACTATAGGTCAATATTCCTAAAGAATATGGATGCAAAAATTCTCAATAAAATACTAAGCAAATTGAATCCAACAGTACATTAAAAGAATCATTCACTGTGATCATGTGGGATTTATTCCTGGTCTGCAAGGGTGGTTCAATATGTGCAAATTAAACATTATTTTTTTTAATGTTTATTTATTTTTGAGAGACAGAGAGAATGAGAACACAAGCAGGGGAGGGGCAGAGAGAGAGAGAGAGAGAGAGACACAGAATCAGAAGCAGGCTCAAGGCTCTGACCTGTTAGCAGACAGCCCAACACAGGGCTCTAACCCACTAACAATGAGATCATGACCTGAGCCAAAGTCAAACCCTGAACAGACTGAGCCACCCAGGTGCCCCCACTGCAAAGTAATCAATGTAATATACCACATTAATAAAATAAAGGATAAGATCCATATGATTATTTCAATAGATGCTTTATAAAAAGCATTTGACAAAGTACAACATCAATTCATGGTGAAAACAATCCTCAACAAACTAGGATTAGACAGAACGTACATTGACATAATAAAGGCCATCTATGAAAAACCCACATCTAATATCATCCTCAATGGAGAAAAACTGAGAGCTTTTCCTCTATAAATAGGAACAAGATAGGGATGTCCACTCTCACCACTGTTACTGAACATAATACTGGAAGTCCTAGCCACAGCAATCAAATAACAAAAAGTAATAAAAGGCATCCACATTGCCAAGGAGGAAGTCAAACTCTCACTAACTCCAGATAACATAATACTCTACACAGAGAACCCAAAAGACTCCATCAAAATATTGCTAGAAATGATGCATTAATTCAGTCACAGGATACAAAATCAACATACAGAAATCTGCTGCATTTCTATGCACGAATAATGAAGAGCAGAAAGAGAAATCAAGGAATCAAACCCATTTATAATTGCACCCAAAACCATAAGATGCCTAGGAATAAACCTAACTTAAAGAGGTAGCAAAGAATCTGTACGCTGAAAACTATAAAACACTGATAAAAGAAATTGAAAATGACACAAATAAGTGGAAAAACATTCCATGCTCATGGAATGGAAGAAAAAATACTGTTAAAATGTCTATAGTACCCAAAGCGATCTACACATCTAATGCAACCTCTATTAAAGTGTCAAAAGTATTTTTTCACAGAGCTAGAACAAACAATCCTAAAATTTGTATGGAACTACAAAAGACCCAAGCAACCTTGAAAAAGAAAAACAAAACTGGAGGCATCACAATTCCAGACTTCAAGTTATATTGCAAAGCTGTAATGATCAAGACAGTATGATACTTGCACAAAAATATACATATAGATCAATAGAACAGAATAAAAAAATCCAGAAATGAACATAGAACTCGATGGCCACTTAATCTTCTTGAAAGCAGGAAATACTATCCAATGGAAAAAAAGATAGTCTCCTCAACAAATGGTGTGGGAAAACTGGACAAAACATGCAAAAGAATGAAACTGAACCACTTTCTTATACTATACACAAAAATAAACTCAAGATGTATTGAAGACCTAAATGTGAGACAGGAAACCATCAAAATCTTAGAGGAGAACACTCTGACCTTGGCTGTAGCAACTTCTTACTAGATATGTCTCTGAGGCAAGGGAAATGAAAGTAAAAATAAACTATAGGGACTTCATCAAAATAAAAAGTCTCTGCACAGCAAAGGAAACAATCAACAAAACTAAATGGTAACCTACCCAATGGGAGAAGATATTTTTAAATGACATATCTGATAAAGGGTTAGTATCCAAAGATATATAAAAAACATCAAACTCAACATTAAAAAATCAAATATTCCAGTTAAAAACTTGGCAGAAGAACTGTACATTTTTTCCAAAGAAGGCATCCAGATGGCTAACAGACATATGAAAAATTGCTCCACATCACTTTTCATCGGGGAAATACAAATCAAAACCACAGTGAGATATTACCTCACACGTATCAGAATGGCTAAAATTAACAACACAGAAACAAAATGTGTGGACAGAGTGTGCAGAAAGGGAAACCCTCTTATAATGTTGCTGGGAATGAAAACTGGTGTACCCACACTGCAAAACCTTATGGAGATTCCTCAAAAAGTTAAAATAGAACTACCCTATGATCCAGCAATTGCACTACCAGGGATTTACCCAAAGGATATAAAAATACTAATTCAGAGGACTACAGTGCACCTTGATATTTATAGCAGCATTATCAACAATAGCCAAATTATGGAAAGATCCCAAATGTCCATTGACTGATGAAGGGATAAAGAAGATGTGGTGTGAATACAAAATGGAATATTAGTCATAAAAAATGAAATCTTGCCACTTGCAATGATGTGGATGGAGGTACGTGTATTATGCTAAGTGAAAGAAGTCAGTCAAAGACAAATACCATATGATTTCACTCATATGTGAAACTTAAGAAACAAAACAAACTAGGGAGGCAAACTAAGAAACGGACTCTTAACTACAAAGAACAAACTGATGGTTACCAGAGGGGAGGTGGGTGAGAAGATAGGTTAAATAGGTGATGTCAATTAAGGAGGGCACTTGTGATGAGCCTCGGGTGTGGTATTGTGTTGAAATCACTAGATTATACAACAGAAATTAATATAACATTGGAAGTTAACTAGCTGGAATTTAAATAAAAACTTAAAAAAAAATAGAATTTGTCTGTGAAGCCATCTGGTCCTGGACTATTGTTTGTTGGGAATTTTTTTTATTACTGATTCCATGTTCTTTGCTAGTAATTGGTCTGTTCGAATTTTCCATTTTTCCCTGCACCAGTTTTGGTAATTTATGGGTTTCTCAGAGTTTGTTATGTGTTTCTCAGAGATTGTCCAATTTGATGGCATACAATATTTCATAATATTCTCTTAAAATCGTTTGTATTCCTGTGGTGTTCGTTGTTATTTCTTCTCATTTGTGATTTTGTTTGAGTCCTTTTTCTTCTTCTCCTCCCCCTCCTCCTCCTCCTCCTTTGTCTCTACCTCCACCCCCTTTCTTTTTTATCCCCCCTAATGAGTCTGGGTAGAAGTTTATCAATTTTGTTGATCTTTTCAAAGAACCAGCTCCTGGTTTCATTGATCTGGTCTATTGATTTTTAGTTTCTATTTCATTTGTTTCTGTCTAGTCTTCATTATTTCATTCCTTCTGCTGTTTGGGTGTTTTGTTTTTCTTCTTTTCCTAGCTCCTTTATGTGTAAAGTTAGATTGTTTATTTGAGATTTTTATAGCTTCTTGAGGTAGACCTGTATTTCTATAAATGTTCCCTTAGTGTAACTTTGGCTGCATCACAAAGATTTTGGATCAAGTGTTTTTCATTTTAATTTGTTTCCATGTTTCCATTTTTAATTTCTTCTTTGACATCTTGATTGATCCATTCACTCATTGTTCAGTGGCATGTTATTTCAGCTCCATGTATTTTGTGGTCCAGATTTTTTCTTGTGGTTGATTTCTAGTTTCACAGTGGTCTGGTCAGAAAAGAGGCTGGTATATCTTCAGTCTTTCTGAATTTGTTAAGGATTGTCTTGTGGCCTAATATGGGGCCTATTCTGGACAATGTTCCACGTGCACTTGAAAAGGATGTGTATGCTGATGTTTTAGTATTGAACGTTCTGAATAAATCTATTAAATCCATCTGGTCATTCAAAGCCACTGTTTCCTTGCTGATTCTCTGTTTGGATGATCTGTCCATTTATGTAAGTAGAGTGATAAAGCCCTGGCATTATTGTATTGCTAACGATTAGTTCTTTCATGTTTGTTATTACTGCTTTATATACGTGAGTATCTCCATGTTGGATGCATAAATATTTAGAATTGTTGTATCTTTTTGTTGGATTGTCTCCTCTATTATTATATAGTGCCCTTCTTTGACTCTTGTTTTAAAGTCTATTTTGATATAAACATTGCTACTCCAGCTTTCTTTTGACATCAATTTGCATGATTAATGTTCCCCATCCTCTCACTTACAATCTGTAGGTGTCTATAGGTCTGAAAAGAGTCTCTTGTAAGAAGCAGGTAAGTGGTTCTTTTTTTTTTTTTCTAGCCACTTTGTCACTCTATGTCATTTGATTGTTTAGCCCATTTACTTCAAAGTAATTACTGATAGATATGTATTTATTGCCATTTTATTATTTGTGTGTGTGTGTGTGTGTGTGTGTGTGTGTGTGTTTAGTTTTTCTCTGTTCCTTTCTTCTCTTGTTCTCTTTTATGTTTGCTGGCTTTTTTTAGTGGTACACTTAGATTCCATTCTCTTTATTCTTTGCATATCTATTACTTTTTTTTATTTGTGGTTACCATCTGGTTTGTATATAACATCTTCTGCATATAGCATTCTATATGAAGTTGATGGTCACTTAAGCTTAAAATTAAGCTTCTTTCTTCCTCTTCCTCATCCTACACCTCCTCCAAGTTTTAGGTATATAGTGTCATTATTTATGCCCTTTTATATTTTGAAACCCTTAATTAACTTTTACAGATAGGCTTATTTTTAGTGTATTTTGTTTCCAATTTTTTATACTCTTATTTATGGTCTTACCTTTAAGACCTTTAAGAACTCTACTCAAAGAGTTCCTTTTAATATTTCTTACAGCCCAGTTAAGTGGTCATAGACTCCTTTAGTTTTGTTTGTCTGAGAAATTCTTTATCTTTCCTTTTACTCTGAATGATAGCCTTGCTGGATAAAGTATTCTTGGCTGCAGATTTATTCTTTTCAGCACTTTGAATATATCATGCCTCTCTCTCCCTTCTGGCCTGCAAAGTTTCTGCTGAAAAATCAGCTGATAGCCTCATGGATTTCCCTTGTGTGTAACTGTCTTCTTTTCTCTTTCTGCATGTAAAATGTTTGCTTTATCACTAACTTTTGTCATTTTAATTACTATGTGTCTTGGTGTGGACCTCCTTGGGTTGAGTTTTTTTGGGGGGATCTGTGCCTCTTGGATCTAGATGTCTGTTTCCAACCCCAGATTAAGGAAGTTTTCATGTTTTATTTTTTTAAATAACTTTTCTGCCCCCTTTTCTCTGTTCTTCTTCTGGGATCCCTATAATGCACGTGTTGTTACACTTGATGGAATCACTGAGTTCCCTAAGTCTATTTTCATTTTACATATTTTTTTCTCTCACCTACTCAGTTTGATTAGTATCCATTACTCTGTCTTCCAGATCATTAATTCATTCTTCTGCTTCCTCTAGCCTGCTACTTATTCCCTCATTTTTTTTTCTTTAATCTCTTTGTTAAGGATCTCACTGATGCCCTCCACTCTTTTCTCAAGTCCAGTGAGTATCTTTATGAGCATTCCTTTTAATTCTCTGACATATTACTTGTATCCATGTTGCTTTGGTCTCTTGCTGTGATTTTGTCCTGTTCTTTCACTTGAGACAAATTCCTCTCTCTTCTCATTTGGTCTAACTATCTGTGTCTGTTCCTGTAGGAAAGTCAGTTACATATCCTGTTCTTGAAAGTAATGGCTTTATGAAGAAGAGGTCCTATAGTACCCTGTAGTGCAGTGTTCCCTATTCCTCAGGACCTAGCAGTCCTGGGAGTATCTCCTCTGTGTGCTGTGTGTGCCCTGCTGTGGAGACCTGGCCACTTTTTCCTTCAGTCTAGTCATATGTAGAGGCTCTCTTTGCCTGTTGTGGTCAGTGTTTGGTCCCTGGCTGAGTGGGGCACATTTTAATAAGGTATGCACTGGTCTGCTTGCAAAATGAGACCACCAAAACTTTTGCTGCCACCAGAAATTCTTCAATGTGGCAATTTCTCTACCTTCAGTTATGGAGTTTGTTCTGCCAGTCTTTGGGTTGTTTTCTGAATTAGTTAGCTTATGTGAGTGTTATATTTTATCCATGGGGCAAGTGAGCTGAAGGTCCTCCTTCTCTGCCATATTCCCAGACTTCCCTGATTATGAGCTTTGATGAAATACTCTGATTCACTGTGGGGACCCCCATCTCAGCATTGTTAAGCCTTTTCTTCTTAAAATGATGAGATACTCCATTCCAAAGTATTTTATCATCCTATTTCAGTTATATAACCTTTGCTTACAGTCTTATAGAAATCAAATAACAAAGGATATAGGGTCTCCATATTCACTATGTAAACTTTCACTTTATCCTCATTTCTTGTATGTAATGTGTACCTTTCATTTTGCCTTTTGCTCTCAGTCTAGAGACCTGTCTATGCTCTTCAGATAAATCTCAATAATAAATATTTATAATATTTCAGGATACAGCATGGTAGTTATTTAGGTTTCAAAGAGGGATAGGATATGGGTCTTGTAAACAGAACTTAAAATAATGCCCATGTTATTAGCCCATTATAAAGGTCCTGAATTCTAGCAATTCCTGGGCCTTTGGGGGGATTCTATGGGGTACACAATTTGACTTTACCCATTGCCACATTAGAATCCAACTTTTTGGGACATGCTAAATCAATCATAGTCATCAGCTTCTTTCTGGATTTCCAAATTGGTATTGCTATTCTCTCTTCTTGTACTCTGTCCTTGTCAAAATAAGCATCTTAATTTTTTTTCTCTCATGTTAGTGGGGTTTCATGAGGGAAATGGTATAAATATGTTGGTTCAAAACACTATTTTAAACCAAAAGTCTCAACCAAACTTATAATTTTTTTTAACATTTATTTATTATTGAGACAGAGAAACACAGAGCGTGACAGGGGAGAGGCAGAGAGAGGGAGAGAACAGAATCTGAAGCAGGCTCCAGGCTCTGAGCTGTCAGCACAGAGTCTGATGCTGGCTCAAGCCCATAAACCAAGAGATCATGATCTGAGCTGAAGTCGGACGCTTAACCGACTGAGCCACCCAGGCATCTCTCAACCCAACTTATCTTAGAAAAATATCCCACCATATTGGCAAAATTGTTCAGTGTCTTTTTTTTTTTTTAATTTTTTTTTAATGTTTATTTATTTTTGAGAGACAGAGAGACAGAGTGTGAGCGGAGGAGAGGCAGAGAGAGAGGGAGACACAGAATCGGAAACAGGCTCCAGGCTCTGAGCCATCAGCCCAGATCCTGACGCGGGGCTCGAACTCACGGACCGCGAGATCGTGACCTCTGAAGTCGGACGCTTAACCGACTGCGCCACCCAGGCGCCCCAAAACTGTTCAGTGTCTTAAACTCAGAGAAATGGTCTGGTTGTAGTTATGCATTTCCCAGAGTGCCAAGTGGGGCAGCAGGAAATATCATCATTTCAAAGATGCACCCTTCCCCCAAAACTCTATTTATTTGATCTGTTAACCTGTAATGTTTCCCAGAAGCCCTAGTAAATGCAGAGTTCATAGATCTCTTCATATCAAAACAATCAGTTCAGAGGGGAAAAGCTTCAGGTACCAAATAGTGATTAAACCTGGTATCATACAATACTAATATCTTGATTGAAATTATGAGGCACCAGCTGTTGGCTTTAATTGTATTTCTCATAAATGCAATAGTATACATTAATATCCCTGCAATATAAAATGGTACAAGATGTAGGACAGCACTGACAGTGAATATATATGCATGGAATTTGGATGTTTTTTATTCAGTGCAAACAGATACTTCCTGTTAATTAAGTACATGTGACATATTTCTTAAGTAACTTTATGTTGTGGTCACTATGAATGTTTTTAAATCATACATTTTAGAAGAACTTTAAATATTTTGTTAATAGGATTTCTTACCACAGGACTGAAAAGTAAAACTGAATTCTACTTAAATGATCTTTAAATTCCTGTCTAATTCTATCAAATAGCAGCTATTTCAGTGGGAAGAAAAAAAAATCTCAAGTCTATTTTTTCCCTCAGCACTTAAACCAACATCTGTTTGAACTTACTAAATTTCACTTTAAATTGACTTATCAGATTTCATGAAAACAGCAAAACACACTTTTCCAATCTTCAGTCCACAGGGGTCAGACTTTCAAAGTATACTTGTTTCCAGCTGCCAATAAGTATTAAGTCAGCAAGAAGCCAAGTAAAAAAGATGAAATAAATGCTGCTTTTTTGAGTATTGTTTTCTAGTAGTATCTATACTGGATCTCCTATCTATTAAAATAAATAATAAAAGATAAATAAAAAGTGGCTAAACACAAATTTCCCACTGTTTCCCACTGTTTTAAGAAACTAAATGCAGTTGCTATAGTGCAAAGTTTTTACAAACTGAAAACAACACCAGTTTAATGATACTATAATTAATCTTTATAAAGGAAGAATTATAATAAAAATATTAATTACAACTATAGGAAATAAGCAATCTCTTCAGCAGGATTCTACTTTATTGCCTTTGATGATTACAACAGATTATAAACATGATTCAATTTAAATAACAGGTAAATAAACCAAATATTAGCAATTTGTACCATCCATAAATAGTTGGATGTTCTAACAAAGCTGCAGGATATAGAAGAAGTTCAAAAGTAAGGCTTTTCAAAAATTTAATATTATCAACTTGCTGACTCTATCCTTGGTATAGATATTAATGATAAAATCTTTTGTTTTGCTCTGCTCTTTACCTGTCTTTGTTGGGGTTTTAATATTCACCTTTATTAATTTTATACTGAATGCACATACAAGGCGTTCTGGATCAAAGACATATCACTGTACACCTAAAAATAATGACCACACGATTCCTCATATCCCAATTCTTACCCCGAAGGTGATGCAATGAAAGCCAGGTCAGATATCCTACACACATAAATTTTAAGTTTACACTACTGGTAAGGAATGGAGCAAATTGAGTTTTATCTGCTTATCTATAGGAAAAAGAGGCAGTTACTCTCTTCGCCCCAAAAAGGAGGGAGAAAACCCTTGCTTTTTGGAGACTGGATGGAAAGGATCTTGAGATCTCACTCTAAACTTTTGGGATGTAAATACATGTCTCCAAGGACGAGATAAACCCAGTGTCTCTGCATTTTCTGACTTATAAATTTCTCCAACATCCTGAGCCTTATCTTCCCTTGAGATGTAAGTATATACCTCTGGAGTTAGGAAAATCTGTCTGGAGTTCTCTCACTACATATACAGTTGTGAATGAACTTTCCACATCTTGCTCTTAACCCAGCCTCCCAAGATTGCAGCAAAATTTATTCAAAAAGTCCCAAGTCTACAGAAACACAAAAATATTTCCTCACATCTCACACTCTTGCTAGCTCCAATTATTTGCACTATGGACTTTCTTTGAGGATTACCTGTAGTATTTCTCACATAAGTAATAAACAGGCATATTTAACTCTTCCCTTAGAAAATTAATGTTATACATGACATATTTAGTTCATATCATTAAGAAAAAGTAATTTTTAACCTAACAAATAAAATTAAGTCATTATCTTATTTTACCTTATAGGATTTCCAGACTTCAGAAAGAAATTCATGAAATAATGAATAATATTACTAAAGAGACCTTTCTAAACTTCCACCAGCAGGTTTCTCTCACTTTGAATCAGCTATTTTTTTTTCCGTTCACATGCATTTGACAATGACATGCCACTTTTTCTTTATTATAATTAACTTATTTCTGAATTTGTCATAACTATGACATTTTTGGAACAACTAGCATATCCTTACTTTAATTAAGACTTGAAAGATTGTTCATGTTCTTTGTAACAGTTCATTTCATGATCTTTTTCAAATTTCCATGTGTCTAAAAGTTATATTTTCTAAGTTTCATAAAACCTAATTTACATTTAACTACAATTCTTTCTGCAGAAAAAAAGATAATCCTTTAAAAGCATGGTTTAGTCTAGCTTTAAATGTAGAGTTATAGGATTATGTCAAATATATAAAATGGAGCATTTATATTAAATGCCATGTATTTCTTCATAATGCTACCCAAGCTAATCGAGAGTGACTACCTCTAATTTGTGATTTAGCAAACTAAACCAGATTAGTCTTTGAGAAGAACTCAGTGCCAAAATTAAGAAAAAAATAAAAATCATACAGTTTATCAGAAAAGGTTATATTTCACAGAAGACAAAGAAGATACTGAATTATGCAGTCTATAGAAAACAATAGATCTCTGGCTATGACTTATGCAAATTTATCTATCTTACTTCAAATTTTATCTTTAGACACAACATTTGAAAACAATTAAGTGCCTTGATGTATATTTAATTTGTCTGATTCTAATGCCTTATATAAATATACCAGTTGAAAATAATATCTTTCCAGTGGAATCAAAAACATAGACTCAGATAAGTTTTATATGCCATACATCTATTATGTAAATGTGATCATGATGGAAAACTACACGTGGAAACAAGGAATAATATAAGTCAATACAGCAAATCAAGTATAATACATAATCCCAAAATAAATATAAAAGTTTGCATTTTCCCAAATGAATGGTACACTGACATTTATTCATGTAAAATGAAGATATCTTAGTTTTCAAGGAAGACATACACAAACACTTAACTTCTATTAAATAGAGACTTGTAAGGATGTTGGGGATCTAAGGGAGGAAGCAAACACAAATCTCTCAAGAAACAGAATATTTTATGAGTGCAAATTCTTAATGTATCTAATCTTAGAGGAACTCTGATGACTTAAGAACCACCTAAATAAATAAATAAATAAATAAATAAATAAATAAACACACAAATAAATAAATACAGAACTCTCATAGCTGTGTTTTCCGACACAGGCATCAACCACTCCCTAGACTTGACCCATCACTATGGTGATAAATCAGTTTTTGTCTCTGACTGATCTAGTCTTTCTGCCCACCAACTGTTCCTTTGGGCAAAATGTTTGATACATTTTTTTCATATCATTTACAAAAAATCATTTAAAGTCTTGAGGTACAAGATTATTTCCCAAATTTATTTTAACTCAAAGATGTGTTAATCATTTGTTAATATAAATTCATCAACATTATCACAAATGTAGATTTGTAATCATTATCAACTTAATGACTACCATTAAAAAGCCTGAAATCTTTCTGGGACCCTTAGTTCCTAGTTCTCTAGTAACTGAAACAAACAACTCATTTTGTATTTTGGTTTTTGTTTTTATTTTTCCCAAAAAGTATTCAAACTTACTCTTCAAGGAGCGTAAAATTCCTTGTTCACAAAGCTCATTCCACATGTCAGGTGAGAGAAAAGTACATTCTGAAAACATTATTACCATAAAATTTCAGAAGAGGTATGTGCTGATTATTCCTTAGGATATACAAAATTTTACATCTTCTTTCTAATTAAGTTTGCTTGACCTTATATTGATAATTAGTAGTAACAATATACCAAAAATGTGTCTCTATTTATCTATGTTACAAAATGCACGCACCTTCAAACATTTTGGGTGTTGTTTTTTTTCCCAGTCACTACTGAGTTTATCCTTACAGGTTTATAGCATCAGCATATCTGTAAACAATCAACCTATGGTCAGTTGTTCTAAAACCTCCTGATTCTCTCTTGTCTGTCCCTGCTGTTGTTTTTCCAAGAATCTGACAGTAATTAAAAGTTACACCGGCATTGTAAATTTCTTCAGCCTTTCATTAGAAATTATCTTAGCAAGTGTGGTAAGATAGGGTCAGCAGCAATTTTTAAATAACACATTTTCACATAATTTACACCAGAAGCTTCTGAAATTTATGCAGTCGGTACTTTGAATATTAACAACCACATTCAATATTCATTTCATTAAGGTATATTCTACTTGATTTTGTGCTCCATGTACAGTCAGTAGCTCAGGCTCACTTCCTGGTTATTGAGTCCACTCATTCAACACATAATCCGAATCTTAATTTTGTTTTTTGTTTTCTTTTGATGTTTCCATTGGATCAGTTTTTTCTCTTTTTTTAAATTCGGTTTTGGTTATCATGGTCACTGAGAAACTTTAACAACTTGTTTTTCTGTTTCCTTAAGAGATATGAAGTCATATTTCCCATACCACATTCTTTAGATATTTCAGTTAGATACTCCATTTATAAAAATCTTCTAAAAGACTTGCAATGATCAGATAAACAGATGTGGGCAACAACTCTATTTTATGCACTACTGATGAGTACAAATGTTTCCTTTACCCTTTTACTATAACACCTTGGGAGGACGGGGTAGTGGGAGCTGTAACACCTAGTTACTTGTTTATATTTTCCCAGTGCAACTGAACTCAAAGTCACCAAAAAATAATAAAGGTAATAAAATATCTGTGAACAGCAAATGGAAGAGGTATAACTGTATACACTCCACTCCAGTTCTGATGCCCACTGAGTTTTAGTACCAAACTCAAAAGAATAAAAATGTACTACAGAGCTTTTCAGATTGTGGAGTGGCTCTCATATATTTATGAGGCAGGGAATATAATACTATCTCTATTTTACAGATGAAGAAACCAATATGGAAAAATTCAGTAAATTCTTTTTCTCACGCAAACAGTATAAGCAATAGAGACAAGCTTCAAACTCATGCAGTCTGGCTCCACAGACCCTATTCTAGACAGACTATGTCTCTCTGGCCATCTCAACTTCTTTATCATGCTCCTTAAGTTGTTCTTTTTAGACATTCTGACTGGTGTGAGGTGGTATCTTATTGTGGTTTTGATGTGTAGTTCCCTGATGATGAGCAATGCTGAGCATCTTTTCATATGTCTGTTAACAATCTGGATGTCTTCTTTGGAAAAGTGTCTGTTCATGTCTTTTGCCAATTTCTTCATGGGCTTATTTGTTTTTTTTGGATGTTTTTTGATAAGTTCTTTACAGATTTTAGATACTAACCCTTTATTTGATATGTCATTTGCAAATATCTTCTCCCATTCCATTGGTTGCCTTTTAGTTTTGCTGATTGTTTCCTTTGCTATGCCCTCTAACATAGCTGTTCAAACAAGAATTCAAACAGGGAGAATTACTATTCATTTTCTGATATCCAATATAAAACTGTTGAATCCCCAGCA